CCCCAAAACCCCAAAACCCCAAAACCCCAAAACCCCTTGTCTATAAAATTTTTATCAATAAAGTTTTAGATTATTAAAATGGATGCTCTTACACGTTGCGAAATCTGAGGAGCGCTTATAGGATACCCTCAGAGGCTATGCTTCAAACACTCAGAAGGTTACAAAAAAGACAAAAGCAAGAAAACCATCACCAAGCGTCTGAAAAACTGGTGGAAAGTTCTGACTGGTAGAGGGGCTTCTAAGCGTTATAAAGCAGAGAAGAAACTCCTTGAAAAAGAAGAGGACTTTGACGAGATCACATTCATGGTTGGGTGCATGCAGATACGTCTGGATACTTATTACTGGGGAGGAGAAACTGTACGTCTTGATATGCGGGATGTGCACAAGAAACCATATTTGAAGAAGTTCGATTCTCTGAGACTCCCGAAGATCATAGGGTTATCTGTTGACAAATACAAACAGAAAGATAGGAAGGCTTATGAAAAGTATTTTTCTCCTCTCAAGCATGACATAATTTCCCTGACTATCTCAGCTAATAATGAAGGTGATAGACTTTGATGGGTTCTTCCATTGATCGTGGGAAATGCACAAAAATTGGAAAGACTGACTTTAAATTGATTCTCAATTTCGATGAAGGAGCTTAAGAGAATCTTTGTTGCATCAGACTCTATCAAAAATTTGAGCTTTGAGCGATGTAATTTCTTAGATACAACTAGCTTGGAGCTTATAGTGCCTCCTGCTGGTTGGGAAAAGAGAAGAAAAGCAATACAAGAAATTCAGGTCTCAAGATGTACTTTCTCAGGTAAGACTAAAAAGCATAAATTAACTATCCTATATCCATTATGTGATATGTTCTTTGTTAAGAACTAGTTAATCTAATTGTTGGTATAGAAACCCTAAACGAATTCGAGCAAATGATCAGAAAGTTTTATCCAAAAGCAGACATCCAGATTAAAATGTAATTGTTCTTCTCAGATTGTGCTAAGAATTGTCGCAAACAAAGTTTCAATTTCTCACTGAAACCCAGGGGTTTTGGGGTTTTGGGGTTTTGGGG